ATGGAGCAAATCCTCTGGCGGGCTATCCCCGGATTCCTACCGCACAATATGCCAATCCTTATGTAGTTCCTGCTACACCGGTTCCGCCTCCTGTCGTAGCTCCTGGAGAAATTCCTGCAGCTCCCAATTTACCTTTACCTACACAATATTCTGCCTCTCCAACCTACGGAGCGTATCAGACAGGGTCAACCGTGTCTCCAGCAGCACCAGCAGCATANGACATTCCTCCTTCGTTTTCGTCTTCTTCTATGGGACCAGGTCAGAATCCAAACGTTGCTGCGTTTGCAAATTCTCAAGTTTATTATCAGAGCTCACCTGTTATGCAGTCGTCAGCTGGTGAGATGTCTTCGAAAGCAAGCTCCTTATCCGAAGGAAAATTGTATTCGGGAAGTGGTTCTTCTTTACATAATAATGACAAATCCGATTCAAGGATTTCCAAGGATATAGGAAATGACATAGTCTCGAATCCAATCCATTCAAAGTCGGTAGTTTCTCCAGTTTCCTCACAAACTCAGAATTCAGGCAAAACTGGGAAAATTCGTTTGGTGTTTTGTCCTGCAGATGAAGAAACTTCCATGGTAGGAACATAGTAGACCGATAATAATGAGACAAGTTTTGCTGATGTATTTTATCTAGGAGGAGTTGCGAGCACAATTGCCAAGATATCAAAGGCATTTGATATCTTCCTAGTCCGTATATTCAGTTTTCCATCATCTTTTGTTTGCTAACACGAGTTGCCTGAGTTTTAGAAGACGGTTTATTTTCTGCACGATGAATATTCGTGAGATTTCATTGTGGAAATTCTTCAAGTGATAGTCAGTCAGTCAGTCGTTATATTATCCATTGTATTTGTTGTCAGGACGATTCATTTTCTCTCAATAAAGAAAGGAACACATTAGGTTTTTAGTTGTGAAACAAGGAGCAATTTTTTAGACTATGTTATTCTACCTTTATGTAGCTACTCACTATCACTCGTTTTCCAAGTATCAACAACTATCTAAGAATGAGTTGCAACACTGCCTTTTTCTCTCTCCGTACTCTATTAAGACAGTGAGTTCCGTTTCCCCCTTTGTTTTGTTATCAAACTTACGGATTTATTCAAACTTTTCCTTTCTCGAAGTTCTTCAGCGTCCAATGTTTCTTGGCTCTTTCGGTCAGGATAATAAGTTTCTCCCATGGATCTCCAAGAAGAAAGGTCTTGAGAATTCGTTTGCTCCTTTCGAACAAACTGACCGGACTGACGTGTCCTTTTGGTTACTTCCTAGTATTTATCGAGTTTAGTTTACAATTAAAGTTTTATTGACAAAGAATTACTTCTTTTGAAGGACGTGGTGGACAACCATCGGCAACCCACTTCCACCAGGCTTCAAACCCATAATAGGAAACTCCTTTAGAGTCAACATAGTGTTGAACCACACACATGAGAAATGGGAATGCGTATCTCAACCCTTTTGCCCATCAAAAGGAGGAGGAAGGTTCCTTCTTCTAGAAGCGTCCATGTCCCTTGGGGCAAATATCTCATTCCACACATCACTTCAAGAATGGAAGTTGAGGGGGTGCGTGTATACGTGGAATTTCAACGGAAGAAAAACAATGTTATAGGAAATAAACAGCTTTTCCAAAAAGTTGACTAGAGTTTGTGTCACACCACTTTCCTTGTGAAGACAACTCAAATCATGTAGTTTTTTATCCATACAACTTTTGGTCTTGCACTAAAAAGTATCTATTGTCAAGTCGGTTGGTTCATCATTGCCATCATATAGACAAAAATTTCATTCAGCTGCTTCTTCCTCGTACTTTCCGCTTATCAATGGAATACTAGAACCATATGTCTCGACAACACAAGCAGAAACCTAATACATTCTCAATACTTTGTCATGCTGATAAACAGAATTGTACCTGAGCAGAACTATCTTTAGGAGGTGACGTATAATAAGGAATCTTTCCACGTGACCAATCGATTAATATGGAATGTGCTGCTGCTTGCAAATCTAAAGCACCGCCTTTTTGTAACTTGCCTCTTTTCTTAGCAATCAATGCAAGAAACTCATCACGAGTGGAAAAAATAGGAATATTATATTGTGTGGTTAGTTTTTCAACTCCTACTTTGTCTATAATAGCATCAATAAAAGGGAAGGGATCCTATCCATTCATATATATATATATATATATCCATTGTGAGTTGAATGCATATGAATTGGCACCTTGTTATATCACCGACCTCTACATTTTGAGTGGATACAAAATTTCGAATAACCAACGATAAATGATGGTCTTCCTCATGAGACATAAATACAATTCCTGGACAGTCCATAAATCGAATATGTTGATCGATCACAATCTCCTGATTATGTTTGGTAACACCTATTATGATTGAGATTGCAAACTTTATCAACCAATATATATACATATTTATATTTATATATATTTACCTGGATTCGGACCCGTTTCTACTACTTGAGAACGATGCAAACAGTTGATCAGAGAACTCTTTCCAACATTGGGATAACCGACGACTCCCACCTAATGTATTTGTGTAAAATATATTTCTTCATTTCATATGACAAGACTTACCATTACTGAAGAAGAAGAATGATGATGATGTTTGTCCGATAAGAATCCTTTCAATAGCCGCATCAAACTTTCCGTATGTGGAGTATACTTTTTTCTTATCTAATAATACGAGAAAATTCAGATAACTGTGTTGCATTTCATTATGAAAGATTTTAGATACTTTTTCATGTGCTGCACAAAATGGTACGGTAGGATGGAATGTTGATAAGTATTCTATCCATTGAGTTGCAATGGAATTAGGAATCATATCCACTTTGTTAAGCACTAAAACGATTCTCTAAAGAATAAAAGTCAATGTTCTAGCTACTATTTGCGATAGATATTCATTGTCTTACTTTACTTCCTCCAAAATTCGACATAATATATTGTTCTGCTTTCATACTTCGAGTTCCAAGTGGATCACGTGCGTCAATAACTTGTAAAATAATATCGCACTGGTTTACCAACTGCTTGAAATCTTTCACATGTCTTCGAATATTTCCTTTTACTAGCCACTCATAGTTATGGCTGACCAAACCAACGGAACAACTTCTAAACCATACCTTGGGCTTCTACTTGGGTATCTTCAAGAGATGATTGCGTGGTTATTTGTTCCTCCCTATCTTGACTGTTGTCTTCCTGAGTAACCGCCGTTGCCTTTAATTTCTATTCCAAACTACAGTCAGTACTTGATCACCAGAAAGTCCTTACAGCAACTACATTGGCCAAGCGTATTCGTTTCAATGTCTGTTCTTGTTTAGCGTACTCTTCCAGAATTTGTTCTTTGTAAGGAAAAGCGTTGGGAATACCTAACCATCTACGCTTTAACATTAATCTTGAAGGATAGTGCAGCTTACGAAGTTCTTTTTCATGCTTTTTGGTTCGAGACTGTTTCTTTTGTTGTTTTCTCATCTTTCTCTTATGTTCTCTTACTTTTCTTTGTATTTTATATTTTTTACGCAGAGTCATACGTTTACTTTTAGAATGAGGTGCCATGATGAAGAGTCTCGTCCGGTAATTGTGTTTCGGAGAAGTCAATTTTTCTTATGAATGATAAAAGTCACAAAGTCACTACGAAATGCAACAAGTAAAACAAAAACACAAAAAATCTGACGAATACCGAGTTTTTGTTGGTAACTTGCCATTTTCATGGTTGGAAGATGCCGTGCGCAGTGTTTTCCATAGTTATGGTATTGGCAGTTTGTTCATTTCTCGATGTGTGTGACTAACGAAAACTAGGAACTGTTGTTGATGTTGAAGTTCCAAGAAAAAGAGAACAACCAGAACGGGTAAGTTATTTTTGGTTGGTTGGAATACATTGCCGTTGACGTCGAAAAGAATAGAGGTTTTGCATTTGTATACTTTTCA